GATGTCAAATAAGCAGTCGGATATCTGTGAGTCTTTTCCTCCAGGTATCCACCCGACGTATTGTTTATTGACTGTAATTGTTTATTGCCCACCTAGAATGCAAGCTCCATGAGATCCAGGACTTTGTCTGTTTTGTTCACTGCTATGTCCTCAATATCTGGAAGAATGCCTGATGCACAGTAGATGCTCAATAGAGCTTACTGGAAAAATGAATGAAGGAATCAGTGAGAAAGTTAAGTCCTCAGTACAACACGGTAATTTGACGATAGAGCACAGTTAGGAAGTATCTGTTTGGATATAAAATTGCTTGCCTGGATATTATTAAGGAGAGGTTTGCAACAGGCATTCTGCAACAAATATTTTCTATGAAGAACTCTATAAAAATGAAGAGACACTTACAAGGCTTCTGTAAACTTTTATTTTATACGTATGGGCCACTGCCAACTCAGGGCCTTGGCTTCTGGCTCATTTCTACAAAGTTACTTGTTGGAAAGATGTGGTAAATGTAGGAATTGGAAATATTCCTACTAGTAAGCCACAGTTACTTACCAGTCCATAAACAAAATGCTCATTGAAGCCTTCAGAAATCTATGACTTTCTGAATTTATAAAATGCATCTTTTCATATGAAAGTAACAAAGCATATTAACAAAAAGACAATTGTCTAAGCAAAATGATGTGAACCTATGGCTTATATTATAGGCATATATCACGGCATATGAGGCACCAGTGGAATAATAGAATTTGACTGTTAACACACAAAGGAGTAATATTTCTTAGCCCTGCAATTCAGGCAAGAGGAACCTGACATTATTTTACCTGTGACTGTGCTAAAATATGGCCCAACAAATGAGCTTAGCTAATTTATCATCAGCAATCTGTCTGGCGAGTCTGATAGAAACATCAGCCAACTTGTCAATTGCATCACCACATTGTGTTTTAGGACACTGTCATACTTCAAAGTAGAATGACTTTTGCTCCAGCACAGGAAATAATATGATCCCAAATACTGCTTTATCCAACCAACCAACCAACCAACCAACCAACCAACCAACCAACCAACCAACACCTTATCTTGTTAACCCATGGCTCATCCCCTTTCATGCTGCCTCCCACATCCCATTTGTGATGGTAACATGGTCACAAGATTTATGAATACAGAAGCTTCTCATAGGTTGAAACTGAAGTGAGTTGTCATGATGAACAATCATCTAAATTCCACGCACAGTATGTGCTTTGGTACAACTACAGAGCATTATTATTAGATTAGATTAAATCCATACATACCATCACATACATGCATACATCACACACACACACAAATACATTCCACAGGGACAATCACAGAAAAATTGGCTAAAAGAAATTTACAGTTGTGTATACACACACACCATCAAAGATTTTCTGCTGTACTCACAGTCTGTAAACATCTGGGAAAATGCTCAGCAAAGGCTACTGTGGGACCTTTGAAATGATGACCACGTGAGAGGTAAGGGGTCGGGTGGGGATTTAGGTTCATAGTAAACACCCAGAGGAGTGAAGAATCATAAGTTCATGCTGACATTTGGGGGTCACTATATTTCACTGACAAGATAAGCTCATCACTTTGAAATTATGTTTCCTATATGGAAAAGTCTTACTGTCAGTTAACATTTTAGGAAAAATTAAGAGAATAGGAGGTGATAGGTATAATATATATAGGTATGTATATACACATGTTACTATTACAAAAAACTCAATGAAAATTTCCAAATCTTCCAAAAATATTCAATCTTTTTCTCCTAGGTGTGCTTTAGACTTCTGTACATTGCACTGAAAGTCTCAGGCATAGTTAAATGACACATTTCTTTAAATTTTGGTACATGATACTGAATTTACTTAAAAACTTACATTACAAAAAGGTCGACCTTCTAGAAAGGAACTATTTGATACAAGCATCATTTTTGAATTTAACATAAAAAAATATGTTCCAGATCTCCTGTCACAAAAACACTATTAAAAAAGAAAATACAGGTTCTTAAAAATTCTTTGAACAGCTGTTAAAAGTGGACATCAGTCTGTGCTTTAAGGGACTGTATTTGTTGCAGCTTTAGAATTCAGTTTTTAAAAATAAAATAGCGACATGAGAAACATTCACCTAATCACTCACCTGAATAATGTTTTTCCTTTTTTTCTCAAAATATGTGTAAATAAGCTCAAATAATCATTTTAAGGCTACTATGCAGTTAAAAAAATACTGGCACTGAATGGCATTTCAAATAAAATTGACTTAAGCCCATATTGTATTTGGCAAAAAAAAAAAAAAAAACACTTAAAAAAATAGAAAATCTTGTCATAGTTTCCAAAGTTTTTTGGTGACCAATTCTCATTGAACATTTGACAGAACTGCTAGTCATGTACTTGAAAACTCTATTTCCATTGTAAGTGCACTAAATATCCTTCTGGATGTATTTAGCAGTCTCCATTCTCCTCCAGCTCTCACCATTTTTTAGTGCTGAATATAACATGCAGAATATGAAAAACTGGATAAATCAAAGGAGTAAGATTTGTAGACTTTGTGGGTATAAACCAGCCCCCCCTCTGCTGTTTTGGAAGAACATTTCTTCTCTACCGAGTTAAGGAAGAAAGATCGGAGAAGAGGTTTCCGGAGACATACTTGCTGTGTGATTTTTTCCCCCCTCCCATAGGATTTGAAGGAACATTGCCGAATGTTTCTTAGAATGGTTAGTTCATACTGTCCTTGTGGCTGCTCCTCTCTGTGTTGTGGTTGTTTTGGTCGTGGTTTTTCCACTGGATGCTTGTTCCGTTCATGGGGACGGACGTCATCAGGCTTTTGGACTGGTAACAGCAGCAGCAGAGGCACGACTGGGAGAAGGAACAGACTCGAAATAACATGAGCCCACCAGCCCCTTCCCAGCCGCCAACAAGGGGTAAATATCCTCAAGTGTGCACTTGAGGAAAGTGAGCCTTATCAGTACTCTAGCGTGGTGGTGGGGGGGCTCTCATCTCTAGGCAGGTGTTAAACTGTCCATTCCAGTGCAGAGAAACAGGTCCCTTGTTTCTCATTTTAATGCTATTCACCAAGTGCAAGAGGAAGGGACAGCAATGCTGGCCAGAGGGAGGGTTCTTCACAGCCTGGGCCAGGGCATGGGTGGGGAACGGTTCTCTGCATCTGGTAGCTCCTATGATTTTCACAACCGCCCTCAATGTAAGGTGCTAGTGTTCCCCTCTTTTGTGAATGAGGACATCAAGCCCCAGAGAGGTTACTAAGAGGCAGAATTGGAATTAGAACTCGGGACACTCTCAACTGGGCTCTTTCCCTTGTGTATGTTGCCTTTTTAGGAAGATCCATCAAAAAAAATGTGTTTAATTTCTGATAAATTTGTACCTCGATTTTTCCTCCCCCAATGAATATGCAAATTAATTAGCAAGTGATTAATTGAGCTTCTATCATGTATTAGTTATAATCTGCATGTTAGTCGACGCATTTTGGGCAGAACGTTTGTGACTGGTAAACATCTTCAAGGGGACCTCAAACATATGGCAGCAAAAACGTCCACACCAAGCTTCGTCTATCTGTAGGATTCTTCGGTGAATATGTGTTTGTCTCCTTTTAGATTGCAAGTTCCATGAGGGAAATCACTGTGTATTTCCTCTCTATTCTATCCCTAATAATAAGCGAGTCATATCGAGCATTTATTGTTTCAAGAATTTTACGCATATTAATCCACTGGATGCTCCTTATGAATGATATGGTGATCATCCAATTTTACAGATGAAGAAACTGAGGCAGGAGGGGGCGCACTAGGTGGACCTGGGTTAGACAGGTAGTAGGTGCAGAGCTGTGGTGTCCGTGGAGGTTGTTTGCTTCCACAGCCTGCACCCTTGGCCCCTCCCCTACTCTGCCTCCTGTGTACCGTGAGCTAAAGTGAAACAGCCTGGTCCAAGGTAATAAAATCCAGTTAGGATTGCCTGTGCTAAAATCATTCCAGGAACTGGCAAAATGACATATCATTAAGACATGCTTAGAGCCACAAGAGTGGCCTAGCTGGCAGAAGTTTAAAAACAGAAGGAAACCGATTTTGAATATTTAAATCATATTAGTTCAGATTCCCAGAGCAATAAGCATTTACTTTCCTTAAAGAGACTATTACTAAATATACTATTAAGTAGCATTTAGTGAGAGCTTTCTTAGTAACAGAGTTTACATTTCATTAAGACTGCAGTTACAGTCTAAGACAAGTAAGGTGTGAATAGGTTTTATGTACTCTGTGTGGCCTGGAGCTCACGTTTGAGCATTTCTTTTAAAAAGAGGGTTCTAAAAAGATATGTAATTAAGTTAGTCATTTAATTTTAACCTCTGCATATGTCATTGTCTGAATAGATACTGCTTTTTTGTTATGCTGACAATCTGACCCTCTTCTGGGTAATGAAATACGATTTTCAACTTTTTTACTAAATAGGAGCACAGCTTATCAAAGTAAGTCTGGAATTGGCCCTGTCTGTTGTCTACTTAATATACTCATTTGGTTGTCTTTTAAAAATGCTTGCAAAATCATCTTACCTGGAAACAGTTTTTAAATTTCTTGCTCACAAAATACAGAGCTATTGGGTTTATACATGAATTCATGGTTGCCAAGTTAATACCGATGTAGTCCATGAGCAGCAAGAAACTAGAGCAAAAGAAAAGAGTATAGAATAATTAGAACATATTGTTTTAAAAATATGCTAACTAGCATTTATCCTTAGAATAAGCATTTTTCTTGCCCAGAAGCCATTTCTTATGTGTGGCAGTTAGAATTTTGTAAAAAGTGCTTGTTTGAATGGCAGTTTCAATTTTTCAGGATGGTTATAGATATATCAACCACTTGGTTAGCTCAAACCCTGTGCACAGCCTCAGGAGGGGATTGGCAAGATTATAGATGCAGCTTGCATAAATTTTGGGATTAGTTATGTGCCATGTCAGCTAAAAAAAATCAACTTTGCGATTTTAATTTTCAGGGCTAATGAGAATGTAGACTCAATGGTTTTGTAAATGTATTATGAATGTGAAAGAGAAACTCCAATTTCCTAATGGGTGCATAGGATCGTACCTAAGTAATTCACATCGGTTCTTGTCCATCTCATCATACACGGTTTTCTTCAAAATACGGCTTAAATGAAGAGGGAACCAGCAAAGAGCAAAAATGACAACCAAGCAGAAAACTGTTTTTGCCACTTCTCGACGCTAAAGGAAAGTGAGAAAAAACAAAAGTACAGCAAGTTTAGTGTTTTTGTACTAGATGGAAGAACTACACAACAAAGAGGTAGAAGATAGCACAGGGAAAAACAACTCAAAGAAGAGCCAAGAGAATGGACTGCCTTAGAGTGCCTCCACCTCTCAAAGATTCTGAGTCCAACTTTGTAATCAAGGAGTTGCTAATGATGCCTTTGGGGAGCTGCCAGGAAGGATGGTGGCCTCAGGTTGGTTACTAGAGCTAGGATAAAGTTTTGTTTTTTTAATTTCAAAATATTAAGGGGGTACAAATGTTTTTGTTACATGGACAACTTTTATAATGCTTACGTTGGGTTTTTTGGTGCAGGACAAAGTTTATACGCCAGAAGAGAGGTGGGAACTGGCTGGAGGTGTGAGCCAGCACTGTGGTGGCTTAGTCTGTGCGCGCGCGCGCGCCTGTGTGTGTGTGTGTGTAGGGGTGTGTGTGTGTGTGTGTGTGTAGGTGTGTGACTGGGGTGGGGAGGGGAAAGGTCAGCTAAAAGCTTAATAACAGGTAACTGACTAGCATTAATGATGGCATGGCAGGCAAGGTGACTGAACATAACCTGGTAATGAATGGTTAAATCCACAAAGACCTTTGGAAAACAAGATAGGAGTAGGGAACAGACAAGAAAAAACAAGAGCAACATGTTTTCTCCTTTTCCTGGTCTTGAAGACAGTTAGAATTGGGTTATTTTTGCTTTTTAAACTCTTTTGTTAATGACATGTAGTTTCCAAAGATATATTGTTTGCAAACAGAAAGATGAAGGTAAAGGATTATCAGCAGTGACGGTTGAAAAATCTGGAACCTGCTGACCCTTGAGTGACTTCCATTGAAAGTTTACATGTCTTTGGGTCTGCTCAGGATCAGAGAAACCTTAGGTTGGGAATTATCTGCAACCATTCATTTGTGTGTGTTATGCTCGCATGTTATACTGCATACATTTAGAAGCCTAACTAGGAACATAAAATGTAACATTTCTGTAACTGGAATCAGTTAATGTCAAAATAAAACTGATTGAAAACAGGGTTTGGAAGTGTAATGCTGGTTCAACCTGAAGCATATAACATTATGTCTGGGAAGCCAACAGTAAACACACTCGATTTGAGCCGTTCCCAAAGATTCTGGGGCAGCTGTCACAAGTCGCTACAGTAGCCCAAAGGATTGGGAGTTCTCTAATCTTTCATAGTTATTGAGCTAGCTGGGAGATAGCTTCAGAGTAGTGATTGAGGGAAGAAATAAAGGATTTTTAATCTGCAGGAATGGGAGATCTTTTTAAAGGATCATTTTGTGTACACAGAAAAACAGTGTGCCCAGAAAAATAGAAAAGGGGTGTATTCGGGGAGAAGTTACCTCCCCTGAGCATATACTCAAAGAGGGTAACCCTTTTAAAAGGTAATATTAATACATTGCCGTATAAGTTGATATGTGCTTAAGCAAATTCTCCTATCTTCTTTTCTATCACTTAGATCTTTGATTTTGTTATGGCAGCAGGGGGCTTGGCCTAAATCATCTACACGGCCACCTGGCCCGGTTCTGACCAATTAGAGGAAGCAGAAAGTGTTGTGTGGGTTTCTGGAAAAGCTACTTAAAAGTGGGGGGATGCTCTTTAGCGCATACGCACTAACGTGTTCTTTGTTCTTTCACTTTGGCTGCCTGGAAATCCGATGTGAAAGTAGAGCTGCTGCTGCTGTCTTCCAAGACTGAAGGAAAGTCGAGCCCAACAGCAGACCCCTCGCCTCAAGTTCCTTGACCACTGAACCAGCGGCATCAGAACTTTTTGCTGTGGGAGAAAAATCAAACCCTTCCTTGGTCGACTCACTGTTATTTTGGGTTTTCTGTTACCAGCATCCAAACACAATCCCTAACTGGTAAAGTTGTTGCCTTTATAATGAAGAGAAATCAGAGACAAGCAAGCAAGAAGCAAGACCATGAGCCCCATAGGATATCAGCCAGAAGGTGGCAAAGCTTTCTGCTCTATGGTGGCTCTCCCACGGTCCCGGGTGAAGGACTCCAGCCAGCCTTGCTCTTCTACGGTTAGCACCTGCTACAGCTTTGAGTGTGACCGAAGGGAGCGTCTACTGCGTGGGTAGCACATCTTGGGTTCTACTCTCTGTTTGGTTGAGCAAATCTCTTAACTACCTGTACAATCAGGATAATATCAGTCCTACCTATCTCACAGGGTGCTTGTTGGAATCAAATAAGAAAAAGACAAGGAAATCCTCTTTAAAAACTTAAAAAATGCTATGCAAATGTGAAGTAGCATATTATTACTGTTCCCAGTCCCTATTTATTTATTCTATCATAGCTTAAACAGGTTCAATCATGATGCTAATGCAAAAATCTATATTTTAAAACACTATTTTTTTTGCAAATCTATTCTAACTAATTACTTCCATCGCAAGAATGAGAGGTAATAATTGCTTAACATGTTGACATCTGGAGTATTTGAAGCATTCATACCCAAACAAAGTCATACTAGTGTTTCTGAATGTGATTTTCCTGCTAAATGTCAATAAAAGATGATAGCTACCATTCGTATGGCATGTTGGAGTTTACAAAGTACAAGCATGCACATTAATTCCTTTGATTCTCATAATAACATTGATTCATATATTAATACATGTAATTTGCAGATGAAGAGTTGAAGCTCAGGAAAATCAGTGCAGTAGTTGAGCAGAGTTGTGATGAGCAATGGTGCTTACACATGGTAATTATATAGGTCAGACTTACAGACTCCGTCAACAACTCACATTAACGTTTGGTGTGGTTGGACATCCTTATATACTTCTCTGTTGTGACTAAGAACTTACCTGCAGTCCCAGTTTTACTCTTAGAATTAATATAAATTAACATTTGCTGAGCACCTACTCGCAGCTGGGCACCGTTAGGCACCTTGCATGCTGTGGGTAATCTCCATTATGTATTATTGTTACATATATTTTATGAGAAAGCAGAAGTTCAGAGAGATTGAGCAATTTGCCCAAGGCCACAGAGCCAACAAGTAAAAGAGTCAAATTTTGTCCTCTAAACTCCACACAGCTTATCTGTTCTATTTCTTCCCAGGAGGGTAAACAGTCGCTTGCTATAAACATGTTCCAGTTTCTTCTACAGCTTTGGCTCCTCCAACATTTTACCTCTTCTAATGTATGTGACCCCATGGCCTGGCATGAGTCTTACCTTAGCCATCGCTCTAATGAGGTTCATCTCCTTTTTCCCACTCACCAAATGCATGGTGCCCATTCCACGTTCTAACTGGACTTCTGCTACTGCACCTGAAATGCCCTCTGTCCTTTTCTTCCCCGTCAAATCCCATCTTTCCTCCAAGGCCCAGTCCAGTCGCCCTCATCCATGAACAGTTTCTCCATGACTCTATCTCATATCCTGCCTAGCACAGGCTACTTTCACCATACCTGTGATTCTATCTTCCGGTTGTTTGTTTCATGGTTTGTGTTTGATTTCAACAAGACTGTAAAGCCTTCCCAGGAAGAAAGTCATATGCTTCTTTTTGCCCTGAAACAGTTCCAAGCCCAGTTCAACATATGCACCCACATACATACACACATGCTCTTGGCAAAATAAAGGAATAGTTCCTCTGTTTGGGCCCAACCCCCAGGACCACCTGTTTCTCAGGCCAGCTCCTCGCTTCACAAAAGAAATTTCTGATACCATAACTTACAAAGGCAACAATTATAAAACAGTATTTTTATTTTTAGGAAACGAGGCCAAATCTGCTAAAGACAGTATTTGTAGGCCTGCTGTGGTCAAGGACTAAACCAGTCCTGGCCAGATTTGCATGACTATGGGATTTACCTGTTTAAGATGCTCACTGAGGGCAATTCTCAAGCTGCCATTCCTTCTGTTCAACATCTCACAGGTCATGAGGGTATAGAAGATTGCGGTGCACAGCAAGGGCATGCAGAAATAGAACCCAAAGAGCCACCAGTCCTTTCCATTCTGGTAGTACTGTAAAGTGAAAATAGGAGAGGGAAAAGGAGGGGAATAAGAAAGTATATTAACTGCAGTGCCTCTGGTAGCTTCAGAATCTTTAGACTTGCAGATACATTTATAAATTCATGCTTTTTGGATGCAGTCATGGGTTTGGGGGTGGTGCTCAAAACTGAATTAGATTGGAAACTCCAGAAATTATCCTGGCCTTATAATAGCACGTAAAGAAACTGTGTTTAAAAAATTATCCTGATCAGGATGCTTTTTATAAACTGAAGTTGGTTTCAATGACACCACAGAAGAGCCCTAATCAATAAAAATAATTTCCTTCCAAAGCTCATAAAACATGATTTTAAGACACGAAGAATACATATGTTTATCTTTGTTTACGGACAAGCCTCAAATTTTATTGTGTCTGGTTTCCTTTTGACTATTGTGGTTGAAAGTTATTTAACGTGAACATCTTGCCGGGAACAGCGAAGGTTATGAATGGCTTATCTGTGTCTCTTTGGTTAATGGGTGTTAACCCTTTGCCTGGTATGCCTGCTATGTGACCTCAAAGCCAGCCAGTTTGAGCCATCAATAACTATACTCAGTCTCCCTCTTTTAATACTTACCACCTGGAAACTGTTGAGGCAGCATACCTTATCTGAAGGCATATTTAGCATTATCTCCCTGTGGGCAGGATTTGTAAATACCAAGATTATTTAGTTTTATGTCTTTTTAAAGGAGAAGACTTAACATCCTATAAAAATGGAAGTTAGAAAATGATATCTAAATTCTTCCTCCCACTAAATCATCACCAGCTTGGGAAGCAATGCTTTTTCTTTCCTTATAATGTTTCTCCAGATTGTTTATTTACTAAGGACAATGCAGCCTCCTGTACTATCTCAGTTCCCACAGTAAAAAATAATCATGCTGTGCTGTGAAAAACTGGACAGTTTCTGAATATAGAAAGAGGCCTAGTGGGTTACATTTATGTCTATTAAAATCATCTAAAAATGGTTCCTAAAAACAAAAAAGTTTGGGGTAGGAGTTCTTAACTATTTTTATGCCATTGACATGCCTTTGGAAGTCTGGTGAAAACTATAATCCCTTCTGAGAATGAAACTTTTACATGCATGAAATAAACTACATAAGGTTGCAATGGAAACTAATTACACTGAAACACAGTGATCAAAATATTAAAAATAAAATTCTGATATAGTAAGAGAGGTGTTTATTAACAAATAAACCCATAATATGCCGAAATAAAATAAAAAAAAAACAACAAAAAAAACCCAAATAAACCTACTGGTGGTTCTAATAACTACCAGAGTGGTGAAGTAGTGATGAGCGTAAATGATATTTTAAGATGATACAAGTGTTACTTGGCATGCAAAGGTCTGCTATTTCCATTAGTGAAGAAGTCATGGTAATGTTAAATACTGTCGTGGTTTGTTGGCAACATTCATAATTGAAGGAAATGATAAATTTAATTAGAAGTTAGTGAAAATAAACATGTCATTTTTTTCCCATCCAAGTTCCCATCCAATTCAGACCCCTGAATTCTATCCTCAGGTTATGTGCAAACTCCCAAAGGAGTTGGTTTATTCTAATCTGCAGACACAAACATTTCTCTATCCCTATAACATTGTATTACAGAAAGATTTCAGTTCTGAACTTGAACCAAAAAAATCAGGAGGACTCTCTCCTTCTCTCTCTCTCTTTTTAAAAGTGTAACACAAACACTCCTTTGAGCACCCACCCTCCCTTCTTTTGTACCCTCTCTTCCTGGTGCATTGCCAGCTGGGTGTGAATGGCCCAGAAGCAGCTGCGAGGGTCTGGAAGCTGACCCCTCTGTGGTGGAGGCCTGCAGAGAAAGGGTCATGCCTCTCTTTTGAACTGATGTCATTAGCAAGAGTAGGGAGGGGCCTCCTGTCAGTCTAGGGTAGAGCAAAGTTGAGGAGCAAGAATGGAAAAAAGAGGAAATAAATTAAAAAAAAAAAAAAAAGAACAGGACTTTAGATTTGAACTCTAAGAAATTATTAGATCAACTCATATCCTCTACCACCACACTCCAGGCCACCCGAGCCTGAAGGCATCCTCACTTTACTTGAACACTTCTATAAAACAGGCTCAGTCATGATGAAATAGCCCCTATCCTTTTGTCCAGTTCTAATGATCAATAAGATCCTTCTTATATTGGCCTTTATTTTCTCTAACATTTCAGTCTGGAATATCTCGATGGCTTATTTACACTGCCTAAATTCTGATGATCTCCTACTGTCTACTTTGTTTTTCTCTGTGGAGACTGACCTCATAAAAATGTCAGTCGGTAAACAGAAGACATCAGTGTTAAGGTTGCCAGTTTGGCAGTTTTCATGAGCACTTTTAATTTTGAAAGAAGAATTTCCAAGCACGGTAACTGCTCAACCATAAAACCACTAATTTTGCGAATTTTCCAAGTTAGGAAAACATACCTTGAGATGTCTGTGAACAATTACATGTGGAATCTGAACTGCATGAAACAGACATCAAAGCACTAAATTATGCTGATTTCAGAGAAATAGTTATCCTTTTGGTTTTCTTCCTCAGTCCATATGTAACTAGTTTTGTCAAGGAAACATGCCTTTTAAACAGATTTCCCAAAACACTCAGTTATGTGATTAAGCTTTTCAGAGAAATACTAATGTGGTCAGGTGTAGTAAAAAAACAATAACTGAACTTGTTAAACCAAAACATTCTTTTAAAAAGTTCTGCAATTTTATCTTATTTGCATATTAGACAGAGAATCTATACTATTATAATCACACGTAAGTGCTATTCCCTACTTTGAATGACTAAATCGACCTTTAAAAAATGTCTGAGTAATGTGCATCTCCTTAAGTGACATAAAATAAACATCAGCATGTCTGTCAGATGGAGATTGTCATGCTGTATTCCTCATTACAAAACCAAATAGTATTATTCATATAAATATACACATCTAGTCCCTCTTTCTTGGTAAATTTGCTTCAGGATTCTGAGTTGTTTGGTGCAGAACAATTGTGTCTAGGGGTCTAGAGTTGTGCTACAATACAAGAGTGAAAAGCAAAATAGTTGTCCTATTCAAGAAGCCAGATGCTGGTTTACTTTTCATGCAACTGAAGACTATCTGACAGTGAACCACACTTGGCCTTGTGAAGATGTTAACAAGCCTTAAGATGATGAAGTATAGCTGAAGACCTCCTCCTCTCCCAGTTAATTCCTTTTAAACCATTAGTACCTCCATGAATTTGGATGTGGCATTGAGCATACAGGTATTGTGCTGTTCACCCCTGTATTCAAAGGGCACCATGACGAAGCCGATTGCTTCCGGGATGGCCAGGAAGAAGGAAATGATCCAGATGGAGACAATTTCAATGGCAGTAACCAAGGGAATCCCGATTCCCTGAACACGACTCCAGGAGGCAACTGCTCTGTACCTGAAAAGAAAAACCAAGTTATTTGGAAATTTTAAATTTATTTCAATTAAATAAAAATTATAAATGCTGGGAAGCTCCTCCTCTTGGCCAGTGACCAACTATTAGCTTTTTAAGAATTTTCTGTGAGTCTTGGTATTAAAAACAAAGTGGGCGATGAAGAATTCCACCCATTTGGAAATTATTCGCCTCGCAGGCTAGAGTCTGAGGTCTTCCTTTGGGCTCCAGTAAAATCCCAAGAGGGTTTAGAATGAGGCAGCAACGGATAGGTGTGCTTATCTTTTTTAAGCTGGGGGAAAAGTTGGATGATGGGAGTGGTGGTGAAAGCTGCTGGTACTTGGTATAGTAATGTTTTATTCCTCTTTAGATATTAACCCTTTGCACTTGGAAGTCGAGTGTGACTCGACACGGTTAGCAAAAATTATAGAGATTAAAATTACTCTTTGGATGTATCAATAATTTGAAATATAAAAAAAACCAAATAAATAAGTTTGTATGAAAAGAAACTCCAGTTTTTTATTCTACTGCCATGCTTTGTAAAATCTGGGGTATTTACAAAATTAAATCCTGAGTAGAATAAAACAAGAAAAAAACAAGCGAGTGCAAAGAGTTAAGAAAGAAAACTTGAAATATTATCTACGAAGTGGGCCTAGATACTCTTGAGTGAATAGTGACCATAGATAATCCATTGTTTCCTTCCTTCCTTCTCTCAAAATACAATCACAGTGGGCTTGTACTAGGTGGCCGTTTCAGTAAATAAATGACATTTCTGGTAAATGTCTCCCATTATGGTCCTGTGCCAGAGGAGATAAAACTTAGTTAAAGATACTTTGATTGGTTCCTAATCTTTAGGGTTCACGATCTAAGAAAAGAATAGATCATACAGAGTATAGGATATAAGTGTATCTGAACAATTATGTCAATCAAAAAACTGGCATTAAAAATTATGCTTACCTTATTTTTACTTTAATATTTTTATGATAATGATCAAATTTAAATGTTAAGTCTAAAGAAGGTTTGTTTTAGAAACTATGCTCTTTGACCCGATGTGATGGTCTGATGCTAACTGCTTTTAGACTTACTGTTAAGAAGAGACCTGTGACGTGGTTTGGTATTTTTGTGCCCTCATTCTTGAAATTTTTGTTGCTGTTGTAATGGAAAGGAAATATTTTCTTTTTATAGTTTTTATTAGATAGTGCCAGAAGAAGGCTGTAAAACAGACTAAAGCATTGGAGACAGGTGCACATGGGTTTGTAGGACATACGACTTAATGTGGAAGATAAATCAATAAAGCCAAAGGAACATACAAGCTGCCCATATCCACCGAGATGAGCCCTGGTCCCTTGTATTTGGTGTGCTATCTCAGCACATCTGCACCATCCATCTGTGAAAATCCAACTCGGAGAATTA